CCCTTGCACTCCTTCCGCCCTAAATTCCATCTCTCCCAGGCAAGTCCTCATTTATCTTCGGGAGAATCTGTTCTTGAAAGCTTTAATCGTCTTGGCCATCATTGGAGCGATTTCTGTGAGAGGAAAAATGAGTTGTTTCAATGAAATATAGATCCAACTAGACATAAAAAATATCTGTATGCTGGGGCCATAAGGTTCTAAAAACTTCAACAAGATAGGCTGTCATTTAACAAATGTTAATTATAACCCCCATGTTATTGCCCAGAGAAAGGAATTTCATTTAGATGGGAAAGCAGCGTGCCAGAATAAACATTTACTGTTTCAAAGGTGCAGTCTGGCTATGGGCAGAGAAGGGAAACAGGGGGGACTAACCTTTCCACCAGGTAGGAACAAGGCATCATCTAAATGCTACACCTAGTGGGAAATGGTGGCACCGAGCTTGAAGAAGATTCAAATACCTGCTTTGAAGTATCTGAGCAGGAACCTCATCTTACTTACTTTTTACAGCCGGTTTCTTTGCATCATAGGAAACAGAGCTGCTGACCACAGGTGCCAAGTGGGCACTGCTGGTACTTGGGCCGTTGGAGGGATGAGCGCTGTTGCTGCTGCCACTGCTGAAGGAAGTATGGCTGCTTCCTGTGAGGTCCAGGGCGGGCTTGATCCTGTAAAATACACCCATCAGTCATATGCTTCAACCGCCTGAAGCTGGCCTGTTGGAAACTGTTTATGGCCATTGTCTAACCAGGGGACCCTCGATTCTGAGACAGGCACCAGCCTTTCAGAACGAATGCCCTTTTACTGGTTAGGTGTAAAACTGTATTTTGAAAATGGGAATGCTGCTTAAATAATTGTCATCACACATTTTTTTTTCACATGGAGAAAAGCTGCTGCTCCATGAGATGGGCATGGTTCCTGTTCTGCTTGACGGCCTCGAGGAGGTCAAGCTCTGAAACTGGCCAAGGCCCATCTCCAGAGGCCCCTGCATGGCCTGGATTTCATGTTCAAAAATCTCTTCAGGTTCTTATGTCCCCCTTCCCTGACATGCGGAAATCACACAGAGGCAAAGTGCTTACTTGATTCTGTCAGGGACAGCTGCTCCTCCTGTTCCAAACTTCTCCTGCCTCCTTCGGACATCACGAGGTGGCTTGGCCACAGAGTTGACAAAGGCCATCTTTGCTTGTCGACCTGCCAAGAAACAGGGATTACTTCTTGAGCAGAGATGCTGATATTATCACTGCCCATCCTTCTGCTAATGCTAGTGAACTCAGGTGCAAGAATCCTGTTATCAGCTGGTCCACAAAGGCCTTGTGACTTCAGGACACTCACCCACTGTCTCACCAGGCCCTGGCCTGCTCCCCGTTACCTTTGGGCTTGTTGGCATGTGCAGACTGAATGTTCTTCGTCAATAACCGTAACCGCTGCTCTCGGGCATCGTGAAGCCTCAGGTACATCTCTCGCCATGACTCATACTCTTCTGGCCTTTCTTCCTTAAAGTCTCGATGACAGTGAATTTTCCATAACTGATCTGTGTCCTCAATTAATACCTGAAAACAGAACCAGGGCATCATTTACATATTTTTGCATAGAGGCACTCTTAACACCTCTCTTTACCCTCCCCTTGAATCACCTAGGAGGGAGCAGTTTGCTAATAAATTTTTGGCTCTCATACTAGTGGAGATCTGGTAGCCTACTGGTAAGAAGCTGCACCGCAATCCCAAAGGCAGGTGGTTCAAATCCACTAGCAGCTCTGCAGGAGAAGGATGGGCAGTCTCTTCCCATGCAGTTTACTGCCTCTGAAAAACTGCTGAAGAGTGAGCTATGGATTGGTTCCAACTCAACAGTACACAAAAGCAAAAACATGACACTAGTATAATATTTAAACACCAAAATTTTAGAGGGAAAAAGATCACTATATTTAAAAAAAATGTTAAGTATAAGCACTGTGGTAACTGCTAAGGGGAGAATGGGGCTGGAGAGGAGATGGTACAAAAGCTGGTTTACAACCTAAATGCCCATCAACAAACGAATGGGTAGAGAAGCTGTGGTATATCCGCACAATGGAATACTATGCTGCATTGAAAAACAAGGAACTCATGCAATATTATTCAAAATGGGTGACCCTGGAGGACATTATGCTGAGTGAGGTATCTCAGTCACAAAGGGACAAATGCTATATGGTGCCACTGTTGTAGAATGAGGCTGGCATCAGGGTGGGGGTAAGACTGAGAAAAACTGGATGAAATATGTTTACGGCATTGAAGTCTATGGGGGAGAGAATAGTCTAAAAATATTATATTTTAGGGCATTATGTTTATCGTAGGAGTATGCAATGAGGGTTGCAGAGTGGATTATATTTGGGGTTGGGGGTGGGATTGGGGGAGGTATGGGGGGGATTGTGTACCAATGAGGGAGTTTTTCTTGGTATCCCCCCAGCAACAAATAAAATTATAACAGAGCGACTGAAATAATGGGCTTGAGCATGGATGACAAGTGTGGGCGAGCCTTCAGTGTGTCCAGAGGGTCGCTATCAACTTTTATCAACTTGACAGTACCTAACAACACCGTTAATTATGGGAAGGGGGCCACCTGAGGAGGAGAGGGCTCTCAGAGTTGGAAACCGCTCCTGCAGTTCAATGAGCATATACTAGCATTATTATAAGGAAAAACTCCTTGTAATAGATTAGCTGGCTAGTTCTAAATGTCAGGAGTAAACACCCAGCCGATCTGTGTTCCTTTTCATCAGACACCTGCGTGTCAACACACAGCCTTGTCCCTGCCCTGGATCTCAGGTCTCTGCTGCCAGAATTCTCCCTTGACCTTTGTGACTAGGTGAGCTCAAGGGAGGTGTTCCAAGTGTTTTTAACTCTCTTTGAATCTTACCTTGACTCTAGCCCAGGAGGCCCACTTAAAAGTGCCAAGAGCAAGTGCTAAAAAGATGTTTGTTTAAAAGCACAGATGCAAATGAAAAATGCCCAGAAAAGTGAGCTGACCCTGGTCAGCCCCTCAGCTGGCAGATACACAGAAACAAGGCTCCTTCTGGAGATAAAACTCAGAAAATGATCCTCTTCCCACTTAAATAGGATACTCACATGATTGCACTCCTCAATGCGATACAGCTGACTAGGCGTACACCTCTCTAAGACAGGCTCGAGAAGATGATATGGGACTCCTCCTACTTCGAAGATTGCTGCAGGGAATCAAAGGTGAAAGTGTTGAATAGTAGCCAAGCAGCACAGTAACAATGGTCTCAATGCTACAGAGAGCTAGCGAGCAAGAGGGAAGCGTGTGACTTACAATCGATGTTGTTCTTCAGCACTCTGATGCACTGCTGTTGCAAGGTCATCATTTTTGGGAGATAGGCACATTTGGAACCGGAATACACCTGCATCTTGGAATTCATTCTGCGCCCAGTAAACCCGGCCTCTTCCTCTTCCTGAGTTGATGTAAGTACTACAAAACCAGAGGGGCAGAAGAGTAAATGATTAAAGGTACAAAGCTTTATAGGAGCTCTCCTGCTCACCTCACTCCTCAGCTGTCCAGTTCCCCTTTGGAAAGGGAATCAACGTTTCCTGTTTCTTATGTATCTTTCCAGAGTCCATGCAAAATAAATAAAAATGTATTTCTTTACCCAAATAATAGTATACTCAGTATATGCATTTCTTTCTTCAGTTGCATTATTTTAAAGATCAGACCTTGTCAGTATATGGGTTTCTATTACATTTCTATTACACCCACACAGGGTACCATCGTATAGATAGATGACCCATGATTTTTCTAACTGCTGGTCTCTGATTGATACACAGGTGGCTTCTAATTCTTATGCTATTAAAACTAGGTGATTTTATTTTTCTTTAAGATAAAAAGCACACCTAATATACCTAGAATAAAGGACTAATAACAGCAAAGAGCCCTGGTGGCAAATAGAGAGCTCGATAACCAAAAGGTAGGCAGTTCAAATCCACTGGCTGCTCTTCAGGAGAAAGATCAGGCAATCTGCTACATTTATATTTTAAAAAATTTACAAAAATGTTAAATGTATACCAAGACTTACAATCTTGGAAGCTCGATGGATGGTTGCCGTCAGCCAGAACCGACTCGACAACAATGGGTTTGGCTTGGTTTTTTTTTTTTTAGAATAACAACAGCTATTTTAGTGAATACTTTAACTACATTTTTGAACACTTATTATGTGGAAGAATCTGGAGCTAAACACTTTACTAACGTTATTTCTTTTAATCCACTTAGCAACAGTATGGGGCAGAAAGCATTATCATTCTCATTTTATAGAATACAAACTGAGACCCAAAGAAATGATGAAATTATCTGAGCTCATCAAACACAATCCATAAAACTCGTAAGAGCCTATGCTTGTAGGAAATGCCCCAAAAGCTAATGTTTTAATGGCTGTGTTTTAATGATAATGCATTTTTAAAATATTTTTCTTCCTTGGTGGGGGGAGGAAGAAAAAGTTAGAAAATTACCTTTTCGCTTTGGCTGCAAGGAGGACATATATTCAGCAGAAGGAAGTGGACGGT